ACTCTACATTATTTTTGAACTTAAAGTTTTTATGTATTACAGCATTAGTTTATTAAAGTTTAATAAAATTTGAAGGATAACTCACTTCTCTTAAAAAATCGTCAGAGATGATTCATCACGTGTTCTTACATAATTTCCATACTTTGATTTTCTCACACCATCTATTGAGTCAATAATGTACTAATTTAATTGGTTTATGATCATATTTGATCTACATAAAACACGTTTTTTTTGTTTATATAGGAAATTTATCTACATATCGCAACCCCTAATACAATCGACCAATAGGATGCATTGTTTATCTGATTGATACGTAAACATAACGATAATACGATAATACCTAATTTTTTTCATGTTTTTGATCTTTATCTTTTCTTTTTTCTATATTTTCGTTTATTATTATTTTTTCGTTGTACCCAAGCACCTTCACATAGGTTTGGAGAAGTTAGATTGCTTCAATGGTTCCGGTATGACCGGGTAAATTATTGATCGGTCGTTCTATGTGATTGCACGTTTAACTTCTTGTTTGTTAAGTATCCTCTTTCACTTTTCAAAACACCCTTAAAGATCATTTTCTTTCTACCTGTTTTTAAACTTTGTACTAAGGTTTGTTGATGTTGTACACTTTCAATACGGATAGGGTCTCTGAATTTAGTAGTTTAAACTAAGCTATAAGCTTCCCTACTATATTCACGCATAAATTTTCTTGAGAAAGTTTTGAGAAATCGTGAATCTTGCAGAGTTTTCCCATATAGCCTGTTTTTATTTGAAAATTAGTAGGGTTATATTGTAAAAAATACAATACGAAAGGTTTGTGATATTACCGAGTCTCATAGATTGTTTATTATTGGATCCAACGATCTAAGAGATGATGACAGTATATTTTATACCAAGTATTAGTAAGATGTGAAAAGTTTTGTGATATAGATAAGTTTCATGGATTATTTTTAAACAGGTTCGACAATCTAAGAGATGATGACAACACATTTTACACTTAGTAGCAATTTACGAGATAACACTCTCTGTTTAGCATTGATTTGCTCAAAGGTCTTAAAAATACAAATTACTTTATCAATAACTAGCACATTATTGATATCGTATTTTATCATTTCAGGATAAATGAACTAAAAAAATAACCAAATATACATTTTTAAAATCGTTTATTCCTTAATCACTTTCTTTATAAATTTATAATTTTTTTTTATTACTATTCCCAATTTAAACTCCTTTTGGGCTACAAATACAAACTTCCTCGTGGTGTGGCCTAGACATTGAATGACTGTTCAATGACTAACTTGCATTCAATAAAAAATGAATAACTATGATTAAGAGGAAATTCTTTATGCCGATTAGTTTTGTTATTTGTATATTTTTTTTTTCTTTTTTTACTAACTAGTTTTTTTTTTATAGCGAAGTATTTGTTTTTTTTTGCTGTTGTTGTTTGTTGGTGTAGATTTGCTGAATTGTCCTTTACTAAAATCGAAGTAGTTTGTAATATTCGTCGGCTTTACTAAATATGTTAGTAGCTGTAAAAGATAAGTATATTTATTTTATTGTTAATTCTTTTGTCTTTATATATTTTACAATGCTAACTAATTTATCTGTTAAAGATATTGATTTTTTTTTTCAGGTCTTGACTCAACATTTGGTCATATGCGCATGTTTGCTAATTGTTCGAGTTTAGAGACAAAGTTATGCATATTTTAAATACGATTTTGGATTCGTCGATCGGATTTAGGGTCACAATTAGTGATGCAGGTGGAACTTAAAGCATTGAGAAAAGCCATGTTGTAACTGAGTTATAACCAGTTATGACTTTTTGCATTAAAATACGATATGCTAAAACTTGTGTATATATTAATATAGTTGTTTATGTTATAACTTTTGTATATGCTGTAATTCAATTTTATATGCCATAACTTGCTGTAATTCAAAAACTTTTATTGCCATTATACAGTAAATTTTTTGAAAATTCATATTACTGTTACAGCTTGCGCAATTATACACTTATAGAAAAGTATGCACTAACATTAAAGATATATTATGTGAAAAAAACAATACTGTTATAAAATGAATCTAAGCGAATACATTTATTATTCTAATTATTTATTTATTATTTTCTTCATTAAAAATCCGAGCCACTAAATTTGCTGTGTTATAATTAAGATTTCCAATTCAAGTCATTGAGTATTATTATTTGATACCATACTTTGACTTTTGATAAATGAATTTTTATTGCCAACAAAGGCTAGATTTGAAAGATCGATCACTTCATCGATTAGCAAATTAGTATCATTTACTTCATCTAATTGTATATTGCAATATCCGGTAATAGGTTCAAATGAGTCAGAAGATTTTTCTGATTGTTCAACAAATTTCATTTGGCTAGCATTGACAGTCGATCCATTTACACTGTCTCTTAAATCACATTCCAATAGTTCCTTTCCATAAAAAAATAATTCATTTTTAATATTAGCATAGCAAAATGCACGAATTTTTGCTATTGCTTCTAAGCGAAAAATATTAAGCCTTGTTTTTCGATCACTAAATATCTATTTTAATATGGAAAAGTTTTGCTCACATACAGCTTGAGAAGGTGGAATAGAAAAATTTTAATGGCTAGCTCAGCCAAGAAGTCTTTTTGAGTATCAATGCTTAACCACCATTTTAGTACTGATTCCTTTTCTTTATTAAATATTTGGGTATACGGTTTCTCTTTGCATTTATAGGCATGAAGTTCCATTAATAGATCTTCACATGAAGCTTTGTCGTATCCCAATTCTTGCCACATTGTGGCTGCAGTTTCACAAATTTCATAAAATTGATATTGCTTTAATCCAATATCTAAAAATATAAAAAAATTAAATTGATTAAATAATTATATATACTATATATATATATCAGCTTATATATAATTATCTTGATATAAAGGATGTAAATAATAGGCAAGCTGATACAATGGTATTGCAAATTGTTTAAACCGTGAATTATAAATTTTAATGGCTTTAGACTTAAATAAGTTAATATTAGGAAGATGGTTTATAGCTACAGCTATTTTAATCAATACTATATAACAATCAGCAATAGTAGCATATCGACTTTTCAATTGATATACCATGTCCTTAATAGGTTTTAATATTGATGCTATTTGACGACATTGGTTAAAAATTCATGATTTTAGATTAAGTCGAAAACTGTCTTGTTAGAGATTGTAATAACATGATTATTAATAAGCTAAGATATAAATTTATTAGTTAATATAATTAAATACAATATTAATTTTTATTTATTAAAAATAATAAGTTTACCCGATCGAACACAGGCTATGTACGAAGTATAGAGTCTACAGTTATATAAAGTGATCCCTACCATGTTTTACAATATATCTTGAGTTCACCACCTTCAATACTCATAGTAGCTATACCTTTTTTTAAATAGCTATTAGCTATTGATGAGTGATGAAAAAAATTTACTATAGATCCACATTATTTGATTAAATTTTTAATTTCATCCACTTCCATCAAAAATCTGATGCTATTAGATTTATTGCATGTGCACCACATCGTATATCAAGAATAAAATTAAATTGCTCATTAACTAGTCGTCTTGCTTGCCTTATATTCGAACCATGATCAGTAACAATTGCGGCAAATTTTTCTGGTCCAACTTCATTTAATATATTATTAATTTCTTTAGCTAAAAAATTTCCTGTTTGTGATATAGTAGAGTAATCCTTAATTTGAAATAGATGCTCACGTCGACTAGGAGTTGTGATTATATAATTATAAAATGATGCACCTGTAAGTGCAGTCCATCCATCAAGAGCTAAAAATATATTTGTTAAAAAAAAATTAAAGATTAAAAATTACAATATAATTTTTATTTATAATTGCTATTTCGAATATTAAAAAAATATTTACTTAAAGTCAAATTTATTTCATCTTCTAATTCAGCATCAATTGACTTTTCAACCTTAGCAATTTCTTCATCCAGAATGCGTTCAGCAAGAGTAAACCGTGAAGGAGGTTTGTATCCAATATTTAAAGTTTTGAACATATCAATAATAAATGGTTTATCTATAGTCTCAAACAGAATTTCAGCACAAATCCAACCCTTTAAAATAGCCCTGTCTATTTGTCGCTACCTTTTTTCAGATATTATTTCTTGATTAGAAATATTAAACTGTGAAGACAACCCTAACCTAGATTCAATTTTATTTCGTCTCTTAATGATTTTTTCCTCTATTGCTAAATTATCACACCATATTTCTTTAATTTCTTGAGGAACATTTACACATTCTCGTGCCAAATGTCATTTAAGAATTTGTGGTTTTCCACGAGTCCATGCAATTTGACAATGCCTACAACTTGCTTTGTAATGCCCATCCCCTAAATGATCACCGATATCAACATAATCCCAGACTAGATCTCGTTTGGGCCCACCACGACGTTTTTTTTTAGGTTGATCAGAGGAGCTTTCTTCTCCAGATAAGGCATCACGATCATCATTAACTTGAGTAGGCACAATAATTTCATTAGGCTCTTGAAGCGATCTTGGTAATTGTTGAGAGGATTGATAAGTAAAAAGTTGATTAATGTTATAATTTAATTCAGATAATGAAGAGCACGAATCATAATTATTATCTTCCGGAATAAAATCCTGGCTTAAATTCATTATAAAAAACTTTCGCTAAAAATAATTCAAGGAAATAAAATAATAAAATATAAACAATTTTTATTATTATATTACATATGATTATTTACATATTAATTACATATATATTTATCATGATGACTATTATTTACAGGATTGTATATCGATATAGTATTGATTAATTAAATGATGGATCGGTACAATTTTAGATGCATTAATTTGAATATCAATATCGATATGGTATTTTTGAATTCATACGGCATTTGGGATTCTTATGATTTTGTCGTAACCGTAACCGTAACTTGCCGTATGTCGTACGGTTCATTGGGAGAGTTCCGCCTGCATCCCTAGTCACAATCGGCGATTATACTATGCTGGATCGTGTCCTTCGTTAGCTTTTGACTAAAAACAAATAGTCTCATTGTTGAAAACGGGATCGTTGTATATTAGAGTTAGTTAAGTTTTAGTTTAATACTAGGTTAGAAAAGGTTTATATAGATTACATTTGTTATGTAATACTGCCGTAATGTTTTTAAATAATAAAAATATTTTATTGGATTGAAAGTATATATGTTTGAATTTTGCTTTAAAATTAGATAGTTTTAAACTATAGTATTTGATTCTTTAGAGGTAATAAAATATTCCCAGCCGATAGTATGGGCCGCTTACTCTGATGAATTTGCAAGACGTAAAGTGTACTTAGCTTCCATTATAGTATTCATTATATCGACCATAGCACGTGCTGTTGCCAGAAACATTTGGTTGTTGCTGATAATGCGTGCTATTGAAGCTTGTGGCTCTTCTGCTGTATTATCTATTGGATCTGGAATTATAAGTGATATTTATGCTTCAACTGGTAACCTGTTCATAAATTTGTTTATGTATTATAAGTAATATTTATATTTCAACTGGTAACCTTTTCATAAATCCATTTATGTATTACGTAAATATATATATATATATATTAACTCTTCATTTTAATAGAAAGAGGTCACACATTTGGTTTATTTTATTGGATTGGCCCATTCGTGGGTCCAATGTGTGGTGGTTACTTTACAGAATATCTCGGTTGGAGATGGGTGTTTTGGTTTTTAACTATATATGGCGGTATCATATTTTTTATTAATTCTATTTTCTCTGCTGAAACTTTTCGTATTAATCCATCTTCAGCTTATAATTCCTCCACAATTCGATTTAATCCAATTGCTCCATTAAAAT